TATAATACAGATTAGAATAAAGAGTAGAATAAAGAAGAGAATAAAGAGTAGAATACAGAATAGAATACAGATTAGAATACAGAATAGAATACAGAATAGAATACAGATCAGAATAAAGAGTAGAATACAGAATAGCATACAGAATAGCATGCAGAATAGAATACAGAATAGAATACAGAAAGGAATACAGTATAGAATACAGAATAGAATACAGAATAGAATACAGCATAGAATACAGAATAGAATACAGCATAGAATACAGCATAGAATACAGCATAGAATACAGAATAGAATATAGAATAGAATACAGCATAGAATACAGTACAGAATACAGAAAGGAATACAGTATAGAATACAGAATAGAATACAGAATAGAATACAGAATAGAATACAGAATAGAATACAGAATAGAATATAGAATAGAATACAGCATAGAATACAGAATAGAATACAGAAAGGAATACAGAATAGAATACAGCATAGAATACAGAATAGAATACAGCATAGAATACAGAATAGAATACAGAAAGGAATACAGAATAGAATACAGCATAGAATACAGAAAGGAATACAGTATAGAATACAGAAAGGAATACAGAATAGAATACAGCATAGAATACAGAATAGAATACAGCATAGAATACAGAATAGAATACAGCATAGAATACAGAATAGAATACAGAATAGAATACAGAATAGAATACAGAAATGAATACAGTATAGAATACAGAATAGAATACAGAATAGAATACAGAATAGAATATAGAAAGGAATACAGTATAGAATACAGAATAGAATACAGAAAGGAATACAGTATAGAATACAGAATAGAATACAGAATAGAATACAGAAAGGAATACAGTATAGAATACAGAATAGAATACAGAATAGAATATAGAATAGAATACAGCATAGAATACAGAATAGAATACAGAAAGGAATACAGAATAGAATACAGCATAGAATACAGAATAGAATACAGCATAGAATACAGAATAGAATACAGAATAGAATACAGAATAGAATACAGAATAGAATACAGAATAGAATACAGAAAGGAATACAGTATAGAATACAGAAAGGAATACAGAATAGAATACAGCATAGAATACAGAATAGAATACAGAAAGGAATACAGAATAGAATACAGAATAGAATACAGAATAGAATACAGCATAGAATACAGAATAGAATACAGAATAGAATACAGAATAGAATACAGAAAGGAATACAGTATAGAATACAGAAAGGAATACAGAATAGAATACAGCATAGAATACAGAATAGAATACAGCATAGAATACAGAATAGAATACAGAATAGAATACAGAATAGAATACAGAAAGGAATACAGTATAGAATACAGAATAGAATACAGAATAGAATACAGAATAGAATACAGAATAGAATACAGAAAGGAATACAGAATAGAATACAGAATAGAATACAGAATAGAATATAGAATAGAATACAGCATAGAATACAGAATAGAATACAGAAAGGAATACAGAATAGAATACAGCATAGAATACAGAATAGAATACAGCATAGAATACAGAATAGAATACAGAATAGAATACAGAATAGAATACAGAAAGGAATACAGTATAGAATACAGAATAGAATACAGAATAGAATACAGAATAGAATATAGAATAGAATACAGCATAGAATACAGAATAGAATACAGAAAGGAATACAGAATAGAATACAGCATAGAATACAGAATAGAATACAGCATAGAATACAGAATAGAATACAGAATAGAATACAGAAAGGAATACAGAATAGAATACAGAATAGAATACAGAATAGAATATAGAATAGAATACAGCATAGAATACAGAATAGAATACAGAAAGGAATACAGAATAGAATACAGCATAGAATACAGAATAGAATACAGCATAGAATACAGAATAGAATACAGAATAGAATACAGAATAGAATACAGAAAGGAATACAGTATAGAATACAGAATAGAATACAGAATAGAATACAGAATAGAATATAGAATAGAATACAGCATAGAATACAGAATAGAATACAGAAAGGAATACAGAATAGAATACAGCATAGAATACAGAATAGAATACAGCATAGAATACAGAATAGAATACAGAATAGAATACAGAATAGAATATAGAATAGAATACAGAATAGAATACAGAATAGAATACAGAATAGAATGCAGAATAGAATACAGCTAGAATACAGAATAGAATACAGAATAAAATACAGAATAGAATACAGAATAGAATACAGAATAGAATACAGAATAGAATACAGCATAGAATACAGAATAGAATACAGAATAGAATACAGAATAGAATACAGAATAGAATACAGAATAGAATACAGAATAGAATACAGAAAGGAATACAGTATAGAATACAGAATAGAATACAGAATAGAATACAGCATAGAATAGAATACAGTATAGAATATAGAAAGGAATACAGCATAGAATACAGAATAGAATACAGAAAGGAATACAGTATAGAATATAGCTAGAATACAGAATAGAATACAGCATAGAATAGAATACAGTATAGAATATAGAAAGGAATACAGCATAGAATACAGAATAGAATACAGAAAGGAATACAGAATAGAATACAGAATAGAATAAAGAATAGAATACAGCATACAATACTGAATAGAATACTGAATAGAATACAGCATAGAATACAGTATAGAATACAGAATAGAATACAGAATAGAATACAGTACAGAATACAGAAAGGAATACAGAATAGAATACAGAATAGAATACAGAATAGAATACAGCATAGAATACAGAAAGGAATGCAGCATAGAATACAGAATAGAATACAGCAGAGAATACAAAAAGGAATACAGCATAGAATACAGAATAGAATACAGTATAGAATACAGAATAGAATACAGAATAGAATACAGCATAGAATACAGTATAGAATGTATTCTGTATTCTATTCTGTATTCCTTTCTGTATTATGTACTGTATTCTAATCTGTATTCTATGCTGTATTCCTTTCTGTATTCTATGCTGTATTCTATTCTGTATTCTATACTGTATTCCTTTCTGTATTCCTTTCTGTATTCTGTACTGTATTCTCTTCTGTATTCTATTCTGTATTCTATTCTGTATTCTTTCTGTATTCTGTACTGTATTATAATCTGTATTCTATGCTGTATTCTAATCTGTATTCTATTCTGTATTCCTTTCTGTATTCTATTCTTTATTCTATTCTGTATTCTATTCTGTATTCTAGCTGTATTCTATTCTGTATTCTAGCTGTATTCTATTCTGTATTCTATTCTGTATTCTATGCTGTATTCTATTATATATTCTATTCTGTATTCTATTCTGTATTCTATTCTGTATTCTATTCTGTATTCTATGCTGTATTCTAATCTGTATTCTATGCTGTATTCTAATCTGTATTCTATTCTGTATTCTATTCTGTATTCTATTCTGTATTCCTTTCTGTATTCTATTCTTTATTCTATTCTGTATTCTATTCTGTATTCTATTCTGTATTCTATTCTATATTCTATGCTGTATTCCTTTCTGTATTCTATGCTGTATTCTATTCTGTATTCTATTCTGTATTCCTTTCTGTATTCTATTCTGTATTCTATTCTGTATTCTATTCTGTATTCTATGCTGTATTCTAATCTGTATTCTATTCTGCATTATATTCTGTATTCTATGTTGTATTCCTTTCTGTATTCTATACTGTATTCTATACTGTATTCCTTTCTGTATTCTGTACTGTATTCTATGCTGTATTCTATTCTGTATTCTATTCTGTATTCTATTCTGTATTCCTTTCTGTATTCCTTTCTGTATTCTATTCTGTATTCTATGCTGTATTCCTTTCTATATTCTATGCTGTATTCTATGCTGTATTCTATTCTGCATTTTATTCTGTATTCTATTCTGTATTCTATTCTGTATTCTATGCTGTATTCTATGCTGTATTCTATTCTGTATTCTATTCTATATTCTATGCTGTATTCTATGCTGTATTCTATTCTGTATTCTATTCTGTATTCCTTTCTGTATTCTATACTGTATTCTATTCTGTATTCTATTCTGTATTCTATTCTGTATTCCTTTCTGTATTCTATACTGTATTCTATTCTGTATTCTATTCTGTATTCTATGTTGTATTCCTTTCTGTATTCTATACTGTATTCTATACTGTATTCCTTTCTGTATTCCTTTCTGTATTCTGTACTGTATTCTATGCTGTATTCTATTCTGTATTCTATTCTGTATTCTATTCTGTATTCTAATCTGTATTCTATTCTGCATTATATTCTGTATTCTATGTTGTATTCCTTTCTGTATTCCTTTCTGCATTCCTTTCTGTATTCCTTTCTGTATTCTGTACTGTATTCTATGCTGTATTCTATTCTGTATTCTATTCTGTATTCTATTCTGTATTTTATTCTGTATTCTATTCTGTATTCTAGCTGTATTCTATTCTGCATTCTATTCTGTATTCTATGCTGTATTCTATGCTGTATTCTATTCTATATTCTATTCCGCATTCTATTCTGTATACTATCCGTATTATATTCTGTATGATATTCTGTATTCTATTCGCTATTCCATTATATGTTTAATTCTCTGTTCTATTCTATATTTTATCCTATATTTTATCATCTTTTCTTTTCTATTCTCTATTTTATGCTCTATTCTAATCCATATTCTATCTTCTATTATTTTCTGTGTTCTATTCTCTGTTTTATTTTATATTATATTCAAATATATAAAATATACACTTCCTATGTCGGATCTAGGAGAATCTGGATACAGACTTTTGTTATTCCAAGTTTTATAGTTTTTGGGATCCTTGCGTTTATCCAGACGGATGGACAGACATGTCTAGATCGATTTCTCTTGTCTACTGATTCAGAATATATACACTATATGGGTTCGAAGATGCTTCCTTCTGCCTGTTATATACTTTGCACAAACCTAATATACCCTTTTTACCCTACAGGTTATACAAATTTGCTACTGGGGCTAGAATGGTGCAAAGTACAGGAAATAAAAAACGAAAAACGGGAGAAGCTAAAGTTCTAACAACAGCAAAGTGCGTGGGCGTGATTCACAAAAAGAATGGAGCACCAAGATGAACTTTGAAGAAAAGGGCACAAACAACAAAACAAGAGTGAAGCCGCGTGAATAAATTTAAGAAAATACACATTATGTACATTTAATTAAACTTGAATAAATCGTTATATTTGAACTAGACATATCAGAACGATAATCTGTAATTTCTAGAAACACACTCAGTGCCCCCTAGTTGAGAAACTGTACTCGTAAGTCAAGTGCTGACAATAATCTACACACATCTACTTGTACATATTTACAAATACGTTGCATCAGCGACTCTCAGAGCACATGCTCATATTACATATTTACATACGAGTATGTACTGAGTACATATATAGTACATAGTCTGCGAACACACAGCACTATACAAGTATAATGCAAACTACATTTATACTTGTATGTAAACGAGAAATCTACTCTTTTCTTGGCATTGAGCACTGGCGTCCAATCTGTTGGCACAGAGCTCTGCTGGCATCAAATACCGGTCATTCCCATTCCTAGGCATGTTACAATTATTGGATTTGCATACCTCCGCTCTATTGCCATATAAGCTTAGTTTTTGTGCTCAGCCTTGAGTGGTTCGCTATTAAAAAGGCAGCTGCTCACATCCCCTGGATGACTGGGGTCGGCTCTGGTACAATGTGCACCTACTAGGGGCCTGTTTGTGAGCTCGGCGCACCCCCAATCTTTTAAATTGAAGGTGATCTTCTGGTCGCTCTGTTGCTGCCCTGCGCTTATTTCTTTGACATTCACTGAAGGTGAAAACAGCATGTGCCGGGCCCGGCGGGCCCGGACCCGAGCGCCGGTCGCTTGTTTACATATAGTTCATACACATACTATACATACGAGTATGTACATACGTGGGCAATTGTATAAGCATTATTACAAAATATAGAATGCAAAATACACACGAGTCGTCGGGTTGGCGATGCTTTCAGCTCTTCCGCGTTCATCTGGCTGGGTATTTAAAGCGCGTTATACGCCTAGGACGACGATTATTGTCAGTGCAGTGGTGGCGTCGTGTTCAGCAGCGATCGAGACCAACGGCTAATTCTAACGGAATTACGAGTATTTACAAAATCTATTATTGGAAGCGGTGAGTTGAGTGCTAGAAGCGACAGTAAAGTGTGGGAGAACTTTAGAAAGCAGTGATAAAAGAGAACTTTAAATAACCGAAAATAATCAACAAATTGCCGATAAAGAACAATTAAAGTAATAGCTGTAAAAAGCTCTACACTTCGTATGGAATTTGTAGTTAATTTCTACGACTACTTTTGCCAGCACAATAGTGATAGACACCATTCTTGATTTGTTCGTTCATCTACTATGACTGCGAGAATTTTTAATGTCTAGGACAATGATAGAGCGATAAAAGCGACTAGACATAGACTAGACACTCTTCCAAACAATTAGCGACTAGACACAGACTACACACTCTTCCTAGTAATTGCATAATTTTTTTTTTAAATTTAATAATTAAAGTCAGACGATAAGTTATCGTCTGAAAAGCATTGAAAAAGAAAGCCCAGACGACGCTATAGACATCGAACTAGAACTAGAAAAAGTAAGCGTAACTATGACCAAGCGATTTACATATCGTTCTCGCAGTAAATTCAAATATACACGAATTTAACGAACTAGTACTAACTATAAATAAAGTCTGGCGCGCGTCTTTCTGTTTGCTGCCCGCCCGACTGATAGCAACAAAATGCTTGCCGGCCGCTCGGTCGGCATAACGTAGAAGATTATAATGCTGTGGAAAAAACCAAAACAAATAATATGCTGGCGAAGTACTATTTTCAGAATATTCTTTTCGTTGCGCGACTTCGGCTAGTGTTTATCGAGCACATGTAGAGAGCTACGTAATCGCTATTAACAGAGCTCTGTTAACTTAACATACATACATACATACATATGTGTGTATATGATCGTTTGATAAGACATGAATGGTGAGCGTGTTAATGTTGTACCGAAAAGAAATAAATACATACAGACGTTTACATAAAACAAACGACGCGACAGTGACGAGGTTGTTTGCTATTTGTAGCGATAAGAGGCGACGCGATGTGTCGAAATTTTCACATAAATAGCCCGACTAGCTAACCAGATCTCATTCGCATTTCAGCAGCCAGCAAACAAACAGTTAGAGGCACAAGATGGATTTGACCAACAAGAACGTTATTTTCGTTGCCGCTCTGGGCGGTATTGGTCTCGACACGAGTCGGGAGCTCGTCAAGCGTAATCTGAAGGTGAGTCCAACCGTAATCTCTGGCTGGAGATGAAACGATTTAAACGATTCTGCGTCCACAGAATTTTGTCATCTTGGACAGAGTTGAGAACCCGACTGCTCTTGCTGAGCTGAAGGCAATAAATCCCAAGGTGAACATCACCTTCCATACCTACGATGTGACCGTACCCGTTGCTGAGTCGAAGAAGCTGCTGAAGAAGATTTTCGATCAGCTGAAAACCGTTGACATTCTGATCAATGGTGCTGGTATTTTGGATGACCATCAGATTGAGCGCACCATTGCCATCAACTTCACTGGTCTGGTCAACACCACCACCGCTATTTTGGACTTTTGGGACAAGCGTAAGGGCGGTCCTGGTGGCATCATTGCCAACATTTGCTCCGTTACTGGCTTCAATGCCATCCACCAGGTGCCTGTCTACTCGGCATCCAAGGCTGCTGTTGTCAGCTTCACAAATTCCCTGGCGGTAAGGAGTATAGCATTGGATTCCTCTTATATAATATTAATGAACATTTATAATGTTTTTATATAGAAACTGGCTCCCATCACTGGCGTTACTGCCTATTCGATCAACCCTGGCATCACCAGGACCCCCTTGGTGCACACTTTCAACTCCTGGCTGGATGTAGAGCCACGTGTTGCCGAACTGCTGCTGTCCCATCCAACCCAGACCTCCGAGCAATGCGGTCAGAACTTTGTCAAGGCCATTGAGGCCAACAAGAATGGCGCCATATGGAAATTGGATCTGGGCACCCTTGAGGCCATTGAGTGGACCAAGCACTGGGACTCGCACATCTAAGCATTTCCACGCCATTGTGATAAGATAGACGTGTATACGGAATTGAACAATTAATATGAAGTAAGGCTGATTGATAAACGTTCCATGTTGTCGAACGCTGAATGGTCGAATTTGTTATTTTTATGAAAATATATCGAAGAGAATTCCAAACAAATAAACAAAAACTGATAACTCTAATTAAAAAATATGATAAATAATTGACTGTGGATCGGGAGTTAGGTAAACAGTAGAGCAGTGCTAGTTCAACCATTGAATAAACAAGTGGATATTTTTTCTAAATACCAGTATGTTCGACTTGACAGGCAAAAATGTCTGCTATGTGGCGGACTGTGGAGGCATTGCCTTGGAGACCTGCAAGGTGTTGATGACAAAAAATATTGCAGTGAGTAGTGAAGAGAATATGAATGATAACTGGATGATAGTCAACACCAATATTGTTTAAGTAATTGTAATCCTATTGGGTCAGCCATCATTTTACTAAAAAATTGTTAAACATATTAATTTAAACAAATATTGGAAATGAAAAGACTTCACCCACGATCGTTCCTTTACATAACTCTGATATAATACTTATTAATATACTTCCCATATCTGTTGATCTATTATTAATTGCAAATTTATCCTCTAATTCTGCCCAAAGAAATTGGCAATACTGCATAGTGTTGAGAACCCGCAGGCCATTGCGCAACTGCAATCGCTCAAGCCTAGCACGCAAATATTTTTCTGGACCTATGATGTGACCATGGCACGTGCCGATATGCAGAAATACTTTGACGAAGTGATGGTTCAGATGGACTATATCGATGTACTCATCTATGGCGCCACCTTGTGCGATGAGACGGACATCGATGGCACCATCAATACAAACTTGACGGGTATGATGAACACCTGTGCCACTGTGTTGCCCCATATGGACAAGAAAAAGGACGGCAGCGGCGGTTTGATTTTGAATGTAACCTCCGTCATTGGATTAGACCCATCGCCAGTTTTTTGCGCCTACAGTGCTTCTAAATTTGGTGTGATTGGATTTACGCGCAGCTTGGCGGTGATTGAACATTAAACAATTATGTGTAGATGAATTTTTAATGACTATTTTCTCTGTAGGATCCCCTGTATTATACACAAAACGGAGTTGCTGTCATGGCTGTGTGCTGTGGTCCCACAAAAGTATTTGTAGATCGCGAGCTAACCGCCTTCTTGCCTTACGGACAGTCCTTTGCCGATCGCCTGCGCACTGCCCCCTGCCAGTCAACAGCTGTTTGTGGCCAGAACATTGTGCGTGCCATAGAACGCGGCGAGAATGGACAGATTTGGATAGCGGACAAGGGCGGCCTGGAACTGGTCAAGCTGCAAAGCTATTGGCATATGGCGGACGTATTCCTGCACTACATGCAGGACAAAGAGGATGATTAGACAAATAAGAAGTTTCCCAAAAAACTATATACATTTGACGTACAATTTTTGTAAAAATGCTGTAAGAAAGCAGCTGCTTAAATAACGTAGACATGGAAACATATAATAATATTCTTTTCATTGAAAATATATGTATATATTTGACGTACAAATTTTGTAAACAAGCCAAAAGACAGCAGCTTCTACAATAATACAGAAATAGAAAGATATATTGTGAATAAAATTCTTTCCATTGCGTCAAAAAAAAAAAATGTTGGTGCCTAAAAGTATGCAGCAGAATTATGCTGCCAAAAATATAAAGTTCAATTGTCTAATCAAATAATTAATGCTTTGCTTAGTGCAGGGCAAAACCAATTTACAAAACTGTTACGGTTTTCGAAACTTCGGTACACTTTGAAGGTTGAGTGCTTTTGGGATTATTCTTGCCAAAGAATAAAATTTAATTTACATAGTATTTTAAATATGACTTATGGCCTTAGATGTGTATGTTAAAGGTGTTTGCAATTGATGCTAATTTGTTTTGTTGCTGCTCGAAAAACATATGGCAGCTTGAAGGCGAATACATTATTTTTTAAGGCAAACAACCTTTGGCAAAAACCTTGAACCCCTACTACAATAAAAATTGACGCTATTTGAGTTTGAAAAATGCGTTATATTTGATCAGTTCACAGTTTCACAATTATAAGCAATTTCTAAAGCCGGCTGAGCACGACATGTAAATAATGAGGATGTTTATTTATAACAACTTTAAAATAAGCTCAAAACAAATATTGCTGCTACTATAGCATTCCCAATTTTTAATAAATGCTTACATGTTTTATTTTATAAAGGTGTGGTCAGCTGTTTAAATATACTTTCAAATGACAATTGAAAATATGCAGATTATAACTGCATTACAATTATATTAGAATTTATAAAATTTAAAACAAAAAAGGAGTTTAATTATCCATAACAAATGTAAAAAAAAATTGATTGTGTTAAGAATTCTAATGAAAATGAAAATATGCATAAGAACTGCCGAACAATTATTTTATTATACATTAAATTTAAAAACAAAAGCGGCGTTTTATTATCCATAAAAAAAAGTGAATTAAATTTGATTGTGTTAAGAATTCTATTGGGAAATTACATCAATCAGCACAAATATTAAATGAATCTTTTTGGTAAATAGATGAAGAATTGTCTTTTCTTTATGCACTGCTTTCTTTTCTTCTCAAATACTTATTAGAAACAATTCGTTGCTGTGTTCTGTTATTGTTCTCAGGCCATTCCTTTCACATTATGACAAGCTTCTGTAAAGCTCGGCTGTTAAGAGTTAACAGGCAGGCTGTGGATGAAACGTGCCTTGGCACAAAACATTCCCATGCCGGAGAAATGGCATCAAAAATACACGTGCAATGAACTTTGGCACAACTCCAACTCGGGGCGATGGCAGCGACAACGACAACGACATCTACACATGCCAACAGCAACAACAACAACAAGCCGGTAACAGCTACAACAGCACACATGCAAATGCAAAACAAACAAATCTTCAACACGTCCCAGGAATGCTTAGAAGAAATCCAAGTCAAGTTGTTCTCTTCATTGAATGGGGGAGGGCAGCAAAGTAGAAGGAGAAGCCGAGAGAGGAGGTGGTGGAATGGAGAAGCAGCCGAAGTGGCCGAAGTGGCCGAAGCCGCCTTGGCACAGTTCCAATTTCTGTGCGTTCGTCGCTCCTTAGTGGCCAAAAGCAACAACAAAGTACACGTCCATTCGTACTTGTGCTCGCATAATAAAATGAAGAGAGCGAAAAAATCAATAGCCAATGGCTATGCAGGCCAGTGTTGACCGGCAGCGGTCAACGACCAACATTTTTCCGCATGCCGGGCCGGGCCAGACCGTGTGCTTTCCTTTTGGTGCAAAACTTAATTCCAAAAATCGATTAGTCATTGTAAAAACCGTAAACTGTAAACTGTAAGCAAAGCATGCAATTGTCCAACATTTTTCATTTAAAAATTGCCAGGCCAAGACGACGCCGATGATCAAGTTGGTGGCTGATTGGTGCTTGCCCATTTTTTGGCACATGTTTGATTAATTTGCCAAGACAGCACAAACAACAACAACAACAGCGACAAGAAGAGTGTGGCATGTTTCAGCTACTACTACAACCAACAACAGAAGCAACTTCAACCGCTCTGCACAATTCAGGAAGTAAAATTATGTTTTGTGTCTTGAATTATGGCCAACGGGCTAGACGAGCAACCGGTTAAGTGTGTGTGTGTGTGTGTGTGTGTGTGTTTATGTGTGTGTGTGCCACAGTAGGTGGAGATTAATCAAGGTGCTGTTTAAATGCCAATACGTGCCCGGTCATCAACATCAAACATGCATCGCTTATGTATATTACAATGCATTTGTAATTAGCTTTGCCACAACAGACAGATTATGCAACTTCGACTTGAATATACCGCACAAAGTGGATGGCAAAATTCCGATACGGCCACGATTCATGATTAACTGTTAGCCTCAGATATGAAGAGCTTCGTTTTACATATGTGGCTAACATTTTTTTCATACGCTCATTACTGTCTTCAATCTAACTGAACTTCAAAATAATGTAAATACATTATAAAACACAGACATATTTTTGTGAGACTCTTCCAGTAATAACCATAAGAAATAATAATATAATATTTTACATTATTTTGTTTTGCCATAAAAAAAAATAGTTTCTAAAAGGGTAGAAAAAAGTTAGCCTGTAGAGTTATTATCTTAGTTTACGATTTTAGTCTACGTACACATTCATGAATAGTGTTTATGAAATTAATAATTGTAGACTAAATTATTGACATGTTTGTTTTAACAAGCTTAAGCAGCTCATCCTGGCTTTATTAGAGAGTCTGTTTGTGCATTTTTTCATTTCTTCTTACTTAAACAATTTGTGTAGAAATGGAAAATGTTTGTTGAAAGCTGCATTTCGTTATTTTTCAGTTTCCATTATTCTGGATGGGTTGCAAACACATAACGACAAATCATAACAATTTACACACTTGATGAACATTTTAATACAGTAATTATGCGTTATATACTTGTATGTAAGTTCTGGGATAGACTGAAATATACCTACATGTAATATCATATAAATTCATTTCCAAACACCACGAATGGAGAAATGAATTTGAAAGCTGATTTCATTTTGTCAATAATCAGTAAATGCTAGAAAATTATTCACAGTTGGAAGGTCTTGCTGGTTTCAATTAAGATTTTAACGTTATGATCTCAGAGCCCAAGTCAAAAATAGATAACTTTGTAGACAATGTACACACAACCCTGTGCACACAGCTAAGCATTTTTATGAGTTGGAAAAAACAAAACCGACCCGCTTAGCTTTTTTCTAAATGTAGAATATCTCTGGTTTTTTGGGTCAGTCCACATTATCTGAATGTTTTGAATGTCATAGACAAACTGATTTACGATTTGAGTTTTGATTTTTATGGAACTATTCTAACCATAAGGTAGCATTAGTTGGATAACGTAAGCTTTTGCTCTACAAATACACACTATCTGTGAAAATTAAGCGCCATTCGTATGCCAGAACGCCTTGTCGTAAAACTGAACGCGTAAATTGTTGTCCAGAACACATAAACCTGGATTATCTGCATACATACTACAAGTATAGTATATACATATATAGTATGTGTATACTCTGTGTGTAGTATCGAAGGTAGGCAGCCAGGTAGACAGCAGCAAAAAAGAAAAAAAAAAAAAACAACAACATCAACTGACTGCCAGAATCGCGGCTAAAATAACAAGTGTTACTCAAGGCAGCAAATTAATAGCCAACATTTTTCTAAACTAATCACGACAAGTGCTTGGGGTCTTATTCGCTCGCTGGCCGGCTCAGTTCTTGGATTTGGATACACAAGTGTGTTTGTTTGTTTGCCCATTTGTGTATTGGCCAGCAGCTGACACAGAAAAGTGCTGCGGATACTCGCAAATGCCAAATGCAGCTCCAAAAAGTAAACAAGTAGCTTTGACTGCTGCGACGCATTCGATGAAAAATGACAGCAGCAGACATTTTTGCGTGTACGAGAAAAAAATAAGGAAAAAATAAATATACCATAAAACTGCAACGCCCCGAGGTGCTGGCATCACACACCATATACATACACTATATCTTACAGTAGTCACGGCCATGCCATGGAAAATTGCACAATTTTTGGAGTCGCAGCCCTCCCTGTCTGCCCATGCCTCCTCCTCCCCAGTTAACGACTTAAATACCGACCCGCTTTTTTCAGCTTTTAATGGCAGTCATTTCATCAGCAAATTCTTGTTGTTGTTGCCCACTTGTTGCTCTCCAAAATGTGCCCGTCAGTTCTTATTGTTGTTGTTAGTGCTGTTGTGGTGGCCCATTCAAATTGCTAACAAGCGCCGAAACTTGTGCCAAATGTCAGACATAAACGGAACTTGCCTCGCAGACGGGGTCACTAAATCATTTGTCTGTTATTCTCTTTGATTTTTTACGAGTACGGAGGAGTGCCACGTGCTCGAATTTCTTGAGTTGTTGATTTGCGCACATTTACGCGCCTTCGGGCTATCACCTGCATCAAATGAGCTGCAATTTGTAAAGGGAATTCTTCTCCTACGGCAACAGTGTTGATGTGTGGCTATTGTGTTTCGGAAGACTCTGAGAAGGCGGCTAAGAGGAAGAGAAGTGAACAATTCCACTAATCTATAGACAGAGGACAAACCACTCCTTCTAATTCACAAATAGACCTAAGCTGTAGTGCAAGTTTTTGGCTCAAAATGCAAGTTTTGCAATCAAACATTTTTCAGAAACTTTTCTGTTTTCTATTAGAAATAGAGCCTATACATTCCCTAACTTTCTTTGTCGATTTCAGAGAAGACACCCCTGACACCTTTCCGCTGCCCAGAAGAGCAGAAGAAGCTCTCAGTCTACAATGAAAGATCAAGGAGCATCCATAAAAAATAATACAATTTCTACCACTTATTCCAGTTAACCAATTTATTTGTTATTTTAGCTATTCTTCAATTTCTTATTACAAATTATTTCTGAATAGCTAAAAAATGTGTTCAATAATTGGTTTCTACCATGAAAATATT